ATTGCTGTTTTTCAGGTAATGCAGAAGCTCTAGAGCTGGTTTCCTTACCATCAAGCAAGCTTCACTAAATGTTTTCACCTGCATCACAAAATGAGGTGGCAGGCCATGGGGAAATAGTTTCCACATCCTGAAGAGGAATGCGGTAGTGCTGATGCTCATACTGCTGCTCCCCATGCTTGGCCAATCACTCTTGTAGGTGCAGGAAATAGCTCTAGAACTTTCAACTGGAACCTGGTCATTTAGGTGCTTTGCAGTGCCTGGGTCCCCACGTGCAAAATACACCCAGGTCCTACCTTACAGACCCAAGCTTTGTATTTCTTTCAGCATTGTCCTTGTACTCCATGAACCAGCATGTCTGATGTGGGGACCAGCAGACATCACCAGGTACCAGCTCCAAAGCACCCATCCTGCAACTGCCAACAATATTCATTTGTCCTTACACATTTAGCCTTGCATTTTGGTGCATTAATGTCTGTAGGAGAGATTACTAGTACTGGATTTGGTCGGCCAAAGAGTGTGAACATGCTCAATTTTAATGAATACTAAATGCACGTGATTTTAAAATTAGGATTGCAATAAGGAATGTTATTTTAATGGATTTTTAAAAATATGTATTTTTTAAAGATTTATTTTTTTATTTATTTGAAAGACAGAGTTACAGAGAGAGGTAGAGACAAAGAAAGAGAGGTCTTCTATCCGCTGGTTCACTCCCCAGATGGCCACAGTGGCTGGAGATGCACCAATCCAAAGCCAGGAGCCAGGAGCTTCTTCTGGGTCTCCCACGTGGGTACAGGGGCCCAAGGACTTGGGCCATCTTCTACTGCTTTCCCAGGCCATAGCAGAGAGCTGGATCAGAAGAGGAGAGGCCGGGACTAGAACCAGTGCCCATATGGGATGCCAGCACTTCAAGCCAGGGCTTTAACCTGCTGCACCACAGCGCCGGCCCCTGGAATGTTATTTTAAAAATGCAATCATCCAAGGAGGAGGAAGGGAGTGAGTGTGGGCAGGAGGGAGGGTAGGGTGGGAAGTTATCATTGTGCTCTTAAATCTGTATATATGAAATACATGAAATTTGTTCACTTTATATCAATTAAAATTTAAAAAAATAAAAGTGCAATCACCTAACTATAAATCAAACATCTCATAAACTTCATTTCAAATGTTAAGTATATTTAAACCCTTCTTTAAGTAGAGAACTGAGTTCTTAGCCAGTCTCTCATTAACAGTACTTTTGCTAGGCCCACATTGAGGCATAGCAAATTAAGCTACCACCTGCAACCCCAGCATTCCATATTGAGTGACATCCTGATAGTAGGGACTCCATTTTAGAGTACCCAAGATTCCATCTTGAGAAAGCACTCCCCCTACTGTGAAACTATGGTCAGAAACCAATTATGATTTAAAACTAAGACCATAACAGTACACTACATCTCGTTTGGTAAAATATAGAAAATCCCTTAGTATGATTGCTGAAACTTAAAACAGACAGGTTGCACCTGGATTAATGTTAAGATTGTAATTTGTCTATGTCCCGCATATGATTTAGATCAGTACCTGGACTAATGTCAAGATTGTAATTGATACTGTTAAGATTGTAATTGATATTAGTTTCACATATGGTTTAGGTCAGCTTGACCCTAGTAACCATGTGTTCTCCCTCCCCTCCTTGTGGTTTTTGCCTTCATAAACCCTGTTGTTTTGAGCTTCGGGGTTGAGAGTTCTTTAGGGCATGAGCCTGCTCTCAACCACAGCAATAAAGGACTGTCAAATTTTATCATTGTGTGGTGCTCCTCTGTTTGGACCTGCTCAGGCACAACAATATAAGCTCCAGTTTAAGTCCTAGATGCTCGACTTCCAGCTCCCTGTTAATGCACCTAGAAAAGCAGCGGAAGATGGCCCAAGTACTTGGGTTCCTGCTATCCATGTGGGAGACCCAGACAGAGTACCAGGCTTCTGGCTTCTGCCTGGCCCAGTCTCAGCTCTACGGCCATCTGGGGTGTGAACCAGCAGATAGAAAATAAATCTCTCTCTCTCACTCTCTGTCTCTCTCCCTCTCTCTCTAACAAGCTTTAAAGTAAATAAATCCTTTTTTTAAAAAAAAAAGTATTTTTGTTGTTAAAAATCCCTTGTTTTATTCTGCTTCAGAGCATCTTGTATCATTACTTCTAGATATACTTCTAATATACCTTCTTAAACTTAAGGAAAAATCAGTTTATATATTTTTTACTGAGGTTTGTTTGAAAAATAAAACTGTGGGGCCGACGCTGTGGTGCAGTGGGTTAATGCCCTGGCCTAAAGCGCCAGCATTCCATATGTGCACTGGTTCAAGACCCGGTTGCTCCTCTTCTGATCCAGCTCTCTGCTATGGCCTGGGATAGCAGTAGAAGATGGCCCAAGTCCTTGGGCCCCTGCACCTGTGTGGGAATCCCAGAAGAAGCTCCTGGCTTCAGATCGGCGCAGCTCCGGCTGTTGCGGCCATCTGGAGAGTGAACCAGTGAGTGGAGGACCTCTCTCTCTCTGCCTCTCCTCTCTCTGTGTAACTCTGACTTTCAAATAAATAAATAAACCTTTAAAAAAAGAAAAAGAAAAAACTGCATATATTTAAAGCATATGACATGATTTACTATATGAGTATAGGTACATTGTGAAATGATTATCACAATCATGGTATTATCGTATCCATTACCTTAGAGAAAGAGAGAGGTCTTTCATTGATTCACTCCCTAAAAGCCTGCATCAGCTGGGGCTGGGCCAGGATCTGGGAATTCAATCCAAGTCTCCCATGTAATTGGCAGGGACCCAAGTACCTGAACCATCACCCTCTGCCTCCCAAAGTGCATTAGCAGGATGCTGGAATAGGAAGTGGAGCCAAGACAGGACTGTCCAAAGTAGCATCTTAACCATTGCAATAAATGCCCAACCCAACTACCCATCTCCTTGTTACTGTCTATCTGTCCTTCCTTGGTTCCTTTTTGCAAGAAAAGACTGGTTCTCTGCATTCTATAAAATGTATTTTATTTGTATATTTTCAACTTTTTCTTCCTCTAATTTTAAAGATCCTGTTATTTGCTGTTCTTCCAACTCAAAAGTAATAAATGCTTTTTAAACCTGTGAGACAATGCAATACAAGGATATACTAAGACAAAGCTGATTACCTTGACCTGCTGATATAATCAATATTAACAGCCTGTTGAATAAATTTCCATAATTTGCCTTTGCTCATACAAAGACCAAATACATGTGCAAATATATATTAATTTTCACGAAAATATAATCATATGCATTATTCTATAATTTGTTTCCCTTATTTATATATGTACATATATACATAAATATGTATATATGTGACAATAAACAGCATTTAGTACATTACTAAACAAAACATAACAAGAGGGGCTGATCATTGTAGTGCAGTGGATTAAGTCCACTTGCAATGTCAATATCCATATCAGAGTATTGGTTCCAGTGAATCCCAGCTGTACCGTTTCTGATCCAGTTCCTTGCTAATGTGTCTGGAAAAGCAGTGAAAGATGGCCCAAGTGCCTGAGCATCTGATATCCATGTGGGAGACCCACACAGAGTTCCAGGCTTCTAGCTTCTACTGGCCATGCTTTGGATGTTGTGGCCATTTGGAGAGTGAACGAGAGGACAGAAGATCTCCCTCTCTCTCTCTCTCTTTTCCTCTCTCCCTCCCCACACTCTCTCATTCTACCTGTCAAATAAATACATATCTCTCTCTCTCTTTTTTTAAAGCATAATGGAGATAGTCTGCAGTCTTAAATTCCTTTCCAGTTTTAAAGTTTGTTTTGTATTCCTTTAGGGAACATGTCACCATTATAATGATTTGTAATGAATTGCTTAATATCTTCCTCCCATGTTAGCCTGACAGCTGTATGAAGCTATGGGACTTAATTTCTTTATCATTATATCCTCCCAGAATTTGGGGTAGTGCTTCAGGGACAGCAATTGCCTGAAATCTGTTTGGTCATGGTTTCAGTGCTCCTAGAAACTTTCCACTTTCTTAAAACAGGGTCACTGCAAATATTAAAATGTGTCTTCAGGAATTCAGGCCTTTGTAAGTCACCACTCAATATTATTTTAATGGAACCTAATGATAGTACATTCTAAATACTTTTAAGAATTTGTGTTTTTTTAGCAAAAACCCATCTGCCACAAAATGAATTTTAAATAATGATTATTTAATTGAAAAAGACCTCTGCACTCACTATTAGGAAACATGTGGATTCTAGTTATACCTCTGCTTTTAATTTATTTTGTGGCCTTTCAAAGTTCTTTGTCTTTTCTGGGTCTAATTCATCTGTAGCTCTAACATTAACTAATTTGATAAATATTCATTGCCTATGGTAGCTGGTTCTGTGTTAAGTCAGAGTTACAAGGGTGAATAATAACAGCCAATATTTAATAAATGCCTACTCTGTGCTTGAGTTTTTGCTATGGGAGTCATGTGCACGATTTCAAGTGCCTATGAGATAGGCACTCCTGTGGTGTTTTTTATACCTTACAAAGAAGAGAACCGACACATAGAAAGGTGAAATAACTTTCCCGAGATCTCAAAATACATAGTGAAGACAAGGTTGGATTACAAACAATGGGACTTTAGATCCCATTCCAGTAGCCATGGCGAATCCGTCATTTCATAATTCAAATACTTTTGCAGTGGCTTGTACTCACAAATACTGGGTGGAGCACTCTCTTGTCAACATTTGGGTGTAAAGATGAGCAAGAAGAGCTCTGACACAAGCACTACGGGGAGTAAAACCTTTTTTGCTCTCGCAGTCTTCCCGCTGGGAAGGAGGGGAGTTAGGAGGTGTCAGCGAGGCATAGGCACGCCTACTTCTGTGGGCGTTCCATCGAGCGCAGGCCAGCCTGCGGGTCATGCCAGCGGGTCGCGTTTCTCCTAACGCGGCGAGGGGCGGGGAGAAAAGGCGCGCTGCGTGCGCGCGCGCCCTTCCGGCATCTACGCAGGTCCGTGGCTGACGTCGGGCCAGCGCCCCTAGCTCCGCCCCCGCTACGCCCACCTTCTTGGCTTCTGCCTCCTGGCCCTCCCCAGCTTGAGCGAGACTAACAGAGGACGCAGCTTGCGCCTAAAGTAGCTCGACCCAGAACGAAACCGAGTGGCTTGAGAACGTGGAAGGAAACTGTGTGCGGCTGCGCTTTTGTGCTCTGGAGCCATTCTAGATGCGGGTGAGTGTTGGGACCTTAGCCCAGTGGCGATCCGACCCCACTTCTACGCTGGAGAAGGCTTGGGCCCTATCCCAGTCCCGGCATGCTCCGCTCTGGATGCCCATGGAAGGTGCAGGGTGAGGATTAGTGACCCGGGGAGGCGCTCCCTTGGGCCTCTCAGTGGGATACTGAGGTGACCATGTTCTCCCTCTCACTTGTCTTCTCCATTTTGTCAGCCTCTGTTTTCCATACTTCACCCTAACCGCCTTCACGTTCAAAAATGTGTATTTCAAAAGACACCTGGATAATTTCTGCCTTTTTTGTGCCCCTGTACAATTTTTTCCCCTTCCATGTGCAGTTTTAAGTTTCCCTCTCCTCTGCACAAAATATGTGCAGCCCCAATTGGGAGGAGGAGAAGAGATCTGCTTGGAATAATTTGTGAAAGGTGTTTTATTTAAAATTTGTAAACTCATTGAGTTTTGATCAATGTTTTTGCAGGCAGGAATAAATATTGCCATCAGGAGGAATTCTGACATGTACATATCTTGTAATCAAGCGGAGACACAGCCGTGAATTATATATTGGCCAGAAATAATGAAAATTGTGATATGAAATGTCAAAATCCTATATAAATTAATTTCACAGTGTAATATTAAACAGAAATTGTTTCCTGTCACCTCTGTTTTCCTTCTTGGGGATGCATTTATTGACCAAGTTCTGTGAATGACACCGGAAAAACATCCTGCCTCTTTATCCACACCCTACTCAGGAATTAACATCAGCCAAGTTATTTCACACCTTGTCATTCTGGTAGAAGTCTATCTGTTTCCTCTAGAACATAAGTTGATGTTGGGTACAAAATGTCAACTTCAGTCAACAGATCTCACTTGATTTTTGGTTTGTAGGAAATCGGGATTATTCCGTAAACTTCATTTATTAAACTCTTCATAATGTGGTAGTGGCACTATGGAGGTTATTATTCTTTTATGGAAAAAGTATTAAACTGGTGTCATGAGATCTGGTTTCTGGACCACTTCTACGGCTAACTATTTCCATTTCCTGAATTTGTAAAGTGAGAGAAATGACATTAGGTAGATTTTAAAGCCCCTTTCAACATTAAACAGAGGGAAACCTAAGTGGCTCAGTAGAACATTCTTTGTGCAAATGGGAGATTGGGGAAATTTCAGCCTTTACCAGCATAAATGGATAGCATACAATTTTTTCAACAGTTGAATTTAATGTTCGCTTTTCTTTTAATTTATAATTGAAATAAAAATTGTAGACTTTCCCCTTTTCACTTCCCTAAAGAAGAAGGAAATGTCTTTTGAGGAAATACATTTATTAATGGTCCTCGGTATGCCTATATCGACTCACTTTTCATCCAAATAATTTAACTACTTTAAATGGGACTATTATTATATCAATAATTAGGATACTATACAGGAAACAATTTAGGAATAAAATGGTAAATGTTAATATATATGGTATCAATCAAAAGGGTAAATACCAACATCCATGGTGTTAATCTCAAGAAATTTTCTTCAGATATACCTCAAACACCTAAAGACAGCAGCTGTTAAATAAAATACTACATTGAAAACAGAAATGTCGGTATAGATCCCCTTGGTGATTTGCCAATTTTAGGTTATTTTATCTGTTCAATTTGAGGTTTTGCTGTAAAAGTCCATTTATGCCTGCAGATGTTTTAAAATAGGTGAGTTTGTGTTTTAAAATTATTTAATGAGTTAGGGATCAACAGTCTATGTAACACTGGCTTCTAGGGTTAATGCTTTGATTTAGTACTTTGTTAATTAAATCCTCATAAATTAAGAGCAGTAATAGCCTCCTCACAGCAAATTCTCCATAAAGGAGTTGTTACAAGGTTTCGGTTTATATTGAACATTTACAATTGGAAGCTAAAGATCCTGAGAGTCTCTTGTACTGTTTGGAACTAACTTGATTTCATGCTTGGGAACCCTTTTTTATTGCTAAGAGCAAGATGTACATATATAAGAAATACTAAATCAACTTACTAGACTAATCCTTTTCTGTTACATATATTAAGGTTCTTTTTCTTCTTTATAGGAAAAAATGCTTTCTGAAAGTAGCTCATTTTTGAAAGGAGTGATGCTTGGAAGCATTTTCTGTGCTTTTACCACTATGCTAGGACATGTTGGAATTGGTCTTGGAAATAGAATGCACCACCATGAGCATCATCATCTACAAGCTCCTAACAAAGAAGATATCTTGAAAATTTCAGAGAATGAACGCATGGAACTCAGTAAGAGCTTTCGGGTGTACTGTATCATCCTTGTAAAACCTAAAGATGTGAGTCTTTGGGCTGCAGTAAAGGAGACTTGGACCAAACACTGTGACAAAGCGGAGTTCTTCAGTTCTGAAAATGTTAAAGTGTTTGAGTCAATTAATATGGAAACAAATGACTTGTGGTTAATGATGAGAAAAGCTTATAAATATGCTTTTGATAAATACAGCAACCAATACAACTGGTTTTTCCTTGCACGCCCCACTACATTTGCTATTATTGAAAACCTTAAGTATTTTTTGTTAAAAAAGGATCCATCACAGCCTTTTTATCTAGGCCATACTATAAAATCTGGAGACTTTGAGTATGTGAGTGTGGAAGGAGGAATTGTCTTGAGTATAGAATCAATGAAAAGACTGAACAGCCTTCTAGGAATCCCTGAGAAGTGTCCTGAACAGGGAGGGATGATTTGGAAGATATCAGAAGATAAGCAGTTAGCAATATGCCTAAAATATGCTGGAGTATTTGCAGAAAATGCAGAAGATGCTGATGGAAAAGATGTATTTAACACCAAATCTGTTGGGGTTTTTATTAAGGAGGCAATGACTAATCACCCTAACCAGGTAGTAGAGGGATGCTGTTCAGATACAGCTGTTACTTTTAACGGACTGACTCCTAATCAGATGCATGTGATGATGTATGGTGTATACCGTCTTAGGGCATTTGGTCATATTTTCAATGATGCCTTGGTTTTCTTACCTCCAAATGGTTCTGACAATGACTGAGAAATGAACAACAGCATGTGTATAATTACCACATAGGACATGTATTGTTAATGTTTGTAGTAATGACTACATATCCAACACAACAGTGTGTTTCTTTTCCTCTTTTATTTGGTGGCACTGGTTTAACACAAATTAAAGTTTAGTAGTATATTTTTCAATCAGTGGTATTTTTTTCCTTAAAACTTGTATAGAAGTTTTATTTGAAGCCTGGCTACTCTACTTGCAATCCAGCTTCCTGCCAACGCACCTGGGAAGGTGATGGGATGATGGCTCAAGAACTTGGGTCTCTGTCATCTGTGTGGGAGATCCAAATGGATTCCCTGGCTCTTGGGTTCTTCGTGCCTCAGCCCTGGCTGATGGGGGCAATTGAGTAGTGAACCAGCAGATGGATGATCTCTCACTCTCCCCCTCCCTGTATGTGTTTCTTCCTCTGTCATTCTGCCTTTCAAATAAGTAGTTTTTAAAGAGAGGGGCTGATGTTGTAACATAATGGGTTAAGCTGCCACCTGCAACGCTGGCATCCCATATGGGTGCTGGTTCAAGTTCCAGCTGCTCCACTTCCATTCCAGCTCCCTGCTAATGTACCTGGGAAAGCAGCAGATCACCCAAGTCCTTGAGCCCCTGCACCTATGTGGGAGTCCCAGATGAACCTCCTGGTTCTTGGCTTCAACCTGACCCAGTCCCATTTGCAGCTGTTTGGGCAATGAGCCAGTGGATAAAGGGCCTCTCTCTCACTAACTCAGCCTTTCAAGAAAATAAAATGAATCTTTAAAAAAGGGGGGTGGGGGCGGCACTGTGGTGTAGCAGGTAAAGCCACCGCCTGCTCTGCTGGCATCCCATATGGGTGCCAGTTTGAGTCCCTGCTTCTCCACTTCTGATTCAACTCCGCTGTGGCCTGGGAAAGCAATGGAAGTTGGCGCAACTCCTTGGGCCCCTGCACCCATGTGGGAGACCCGGAAGAAGCTCCAGGCTCCTGGCTTCAGATTGGCCCAGCACCAGCACCAGCTGTTGCAGCCATTTTGGGAGTGAAAAAGTGAATGGAAGATTCTGTCTCTGTCTCTCTCCCCCACAACCACCTCTCTCAAACTCTGCCTTTCAAATAAATAAATCTTTTTTAAAAATGTTAGAAATGGGGTCGACGCTGCAACACAATAGGTTAAGATGCTGCCTGCAATGCCAGCATCCCATATGAGCACTGGGTTTGAGTTCTGGCTGCTCCATTTCCAATCCTGCTCCCTACTAATGGCTTGGGAAAAGCAGTGGAAGATTGCCCAAGTGTGTGGGCCCCTGCGATGTACATGGGAGACCCAGATGAAGCTCCTGGCTTCCACCTGGCTGAGTGCTGGCCATTGCAGCCACCTGGGGAGTGAACCAGTGGATGGAAGTTCCCTCTGATTCTGCCTGTCTCTGTAACTCTGACTTTCAAAATAAATAAATAATTTTTTTAAAAAAAAAGAGTGGAAATTGCCTGAGAAAAAAGTAAAAAAAAAAAAAAAACTTACAAACTCACAATTTTAACAGGTTAAATGAATTATGACTATGAAAACTGTCATTAAACTGTTTCCCAGTGAATCAAGCTCCCAGCTGCAACTTAGATAATAATGAACAGTCGAGATTTATTTACTCCTGCTGGTTAAATGAGTTCCTATGGAAATCTCTTGAAGAAATCTTGGCCATCTGATAGTTTCACTTACCTGAGTTGAGCCTGTCCTGGCTTCTTCAAATTCTGAGATATTTTCCCATGTTCATAGTTGCACTATGTCCAACTATTTTCTATATAGAAGCCCTAAATTCACTGTCCCACCTTGGATTACCATCACATCTGCCTAATTTCAATTGCTACCCAGAAACTTTACCCAGTGGTGGATGTAATAGCTCATGTGTTTATAGATGTGTAAATACTTGGAGCTTGTTTTTCCTGTAATCTGGGCAGCATGTGGTGTATTAAGTGATCTGTGGGATGTGAGACTATGTCAGTTTAGAGATCAGCTGTTTTTGGTAACTGGTGTCCTACAACTTTAACAACAGAAATAGAGGGATTGGTGATGTGGCATGGTGGGTTAACTGCTGCTTGGGATGCCAGCATTCTATGTCAGAGTGCCAGGTTAAGACCCTGCTGCTCCACTTCCAATCCAGCTTCCTGCTAACTCACCTGGAAAGGTAGCAGAAAATGGCCCAAGTTCTTGGGCCCTTGCGACCTATGGGGCAGACCAGGATGGCACTCCAGGCTACTAGTTTCAGCCTGCCGAACCATGGTGTTTGCAGCCATTTTGAGAGTGAACTAATGGCTGGAATATCAGTATCTCTCTCTCCCCCACCGAGCTGTTGCTGTTGCTCTGCCTTTAAAATAAGTAAACCTTTAAAACAGAAAACAAGAATAGAATTGTCTCAAGAGGTCTTTCACTTCATATTACTGATATTCATAATGTGTGAAATCCTTTTTTAAAAACTGATTTTCCTCATTGAAGCTTTTGGCTAAGATGAGTTATTAATTTTGAAGAATAAGAAAACCCCTTTGTTGTTCACTAGTTACCTAAAGATGAAATCATGTTCAGTGTGAGTGTAATGATAAAACTACCTCAGTGTGACACTTGTTGATAATGTGTTACCTTGCCCTCAACACCAACATATTTAAAATTTTCATCTTCAATTACATCACTATATCAAATTATTGTAATAAGTATATCAGAGGGGCCAGCGCTGTGGTGCCATGGGTTAATGCCGTGGCCTGAATCACCTGCATCCCATATGGACACTGGTTCGAGACTTGGCTGCTCCACTTCCAATCCAGTTCTCTGCTATGGCCTGGGAAAGCAGTGGAGGATGGCCCAAGTCCTTGGGCCCCTGCACACGCATGGGGGACTCAGAAGAGGCTTCTGGCTCCTGGCTTCAGATCGCCGCAGCTCCGGCTATTGCAGCCCATTGGGGAGTGAACCATCAGATGAAAGAGCTCTCCCTCCCTCTCTGCCTCTCCTCTCTCTGTGTAACTCCAACTTTCAAATAAATAAATAAATAAATAAATAATCTTTTTTAAAAAAGTATATCAGAGGGGCTGGCACTGTGGCTTAGCGGATAAAGCTGCCACCTGCAGTGCAAGCACCCCATAAAGGTGCCAGTTTGAGTCCCAGCTGTTCCACTTTCGATCCAGCTTTCTACTATAGCATGGGAAAGCAGTGGAAGATGACCCAACTCCTTAGGCCCCTGCACTGGCATGGGGGGCCCAGAGGAAGCTCCAGGCTCCTGGGTTCAGATTGGTGCAGCTCCAGGTGTTGCAGCCATTTGGGGAGTGAGCCAGTGGATAGAAGATCTCTTGCTTTCTCTTTTTCTCCCTCTCTCTGTAATTCTGCCTTTCAAATAAACAAATAAATCTTTAATAAATAAATTTCAGAGAATGCATTCCATTGTTTGACTTGCTGAGTGCTAAAGTAACATTGCTTTTTAAACCAAACTGACGATTTTTAAATTTATTTTTTGAGAGGCAGAGAGACAAGGAGAGGGCTCCCATCTAATGGTTCACTCCTCAAATGCCTGCAACAGGTGGAACCAGGCTAGGGCTGTTAGGAGTTGGGAATTCAATGCAGATCTGCCACATGGGTGATAAGGACCCAAATACTTGAGACATCATCTGCTGCCTACCAGGATCTGCATTAGCAGGAAGCTGGGGTAAGGGGCTGGAGTCAGGTATTAAACCCAGGTTCTCTGTATGGGATGCCAACCTGTGTCAACTGCTAGGCCAAACACCCACCCTTCTTGATTTTTTTAAATGTTTATTTTCACCTACTTGAAGGGCAAAGTGACAGAAATAGGTCTCCCATCTGCTGGTTCACTCCCAAAATGTTTGCAACAGCCAGGTCTGGGTCAGGCTGAAGCTGAGAGCCAGGAATTCCATCCTGGTCTCCCATGGCAGGGAGCAAATACTTGAGCCAGCATATGCTGCCTCCCAGGAGGCTTTAGCCATAAGCAGGCACTCCAATATGGTATGCAGGCATCCTAAGCGGCAGCTTAACCTACAGTGCCACAACACCCACTCCTTGATCGTATTTTTATATGTAAATGTTCCTTTATGAGATGTTCTTGTGGCATAGTGGGTAAAGCCACAGCATTCTATATGGGAGCCGAGTCCCAGCTGCTCCACTTCTGATACAGCTCCCTGCTAATGGCCTAGGAAAAGCAGAAGATTGCCCAAGTGTTTGGGCCCCTAACACCCATGTGGGAGGCTGAGAAGAAGCTCCTGGCTTTGGCTTTGCCCAGCCCCAGCCATTGAAGCCATCTGGGGAGTGAACCAGCATATGGAAGATTGCTCTTTCTCTCCGGCCCCCTCTCTGTAACTCTTTCAAATAAATGTCTTTTTTTTTTTTTAAAAAAAAAGTTACTTGTATAAATATACTATCTCTTTTGTTTGTACTCATTCTTTTAGCTAAAATCTGAATCTAACAAAATAGTGCTACTGAGGTCATGGTTACAAATTCTTGATCATACTGTTTTTCAGCTTTACACAGAAAAATGATATTCAATAGACAAAAGCTATAACCCTAATCCCACTCTACTGTTGGGAAGAGAGTTGAAAATAATTGAAATCTAACAGAAATTAATCATGATTGTGAATATACTTTACGTAGGCTAGTAGCTACCATACTGGATAACACAAGTCTAAGCAATTCCAGAAATTTAAGACTCACACTCACTCACCCACCCAGGTTGAGATATGAATGGAAGAAGTTTCTGGGAACAGCATTGTGCCACAGTGGGTTAAGTCACTTCTGTGACACCAGCATCCCATACTGGAATGCCAGTTGGAAACCAGGCTTTTGATCCAGCTGTCTGCTAAGGTGCCTAGGAAGTTAGCAGAAAATGGCCCAAATATTTGGGTCCTTGCCAGCCATCTGAGACCAGGATAGAGTCCCTGGGTCCTGCCTTCAGTCTGGACCAGACCTCAGTGAATGAAAGATTGTCCTCCTCCTCTTTCTATCCCTGTCACTCTGCTTTCAAATAAGTAATTTTTTTAAGATTTATTTATTTATATGAAATAATTAGAGAGGGAGAAACAAAGAGGTCTTCCATCTTCTGGTTCACTCCCCAAATGGCGGCAATGGCCAGGGTTGGGCCAGGCTGAAGCCAGGAGCTTCTTCCAGGTCTCCCACATGGATGGAGGGGCCCA